TTAGAAGACTGGAATTCCAAGTGAGGCAGCTGGCTTGATATACTTGGGGTTTACAACACTGACTATTGCAAGTATCCTGTGGGTCTCGGCAGGAAAATGTTTCTGAGGTCACATATGTACTCAAGTCTGGTTTTCAGATTCCTTGTTGACACAGGAGTCTGTAGTTGCTGCTGTAGTGTTGTGGCTTCTTTCTCCATGAAAATTATTGTCAACCAGGCAGGTGAGATGGCTCAGCTGGTAAAGATTCTTGCTGCCAAGTCAGATGATCTGAGTCCAATGCCCAGGACCCACACGGTGGAAGGAGTGAACCGTTCTCACAGCTTGTCCTCTGTGGTGATGTTTTGTTTATGATCTAATAAAGCTTGCCTTAAGATCAGAGTGCAAAGCTAGCCACAGCCATAGACCAGGCAGAGACGGTACACACCTGTAATCCCAGTACTCAGGAGACAGAGATGGATGGATCTCTGTGAGTTCAAGGCCACCCTGGGATAGATGAGAGTGAATCAGTCTAAAAGAAAAACAGAGCTCCCACCTTTAATCCCAGCACTAGAGGGGTGGAGACAGGAGTGATATGGCTGGGCGGAGAGAGGAATATAAGGTGGGAGGAGACAGGAACAGCCTAAGGAGCAATTCGGTATGGAGATGCAGTGTGAAGACAGGATCATCCCTTCAGTCTGGGCATTGCTAGAGGTGAGAATTCTCTACTGGCTGGCCACTTTGCTTTTCTGATCTTCAGCTTGAACCCCAATATCTGTCTCTGGGTTTTTATTATTGGTGCCATAGTTCTCTGGCCTCCATGTTCACACTGTGACATATACACACACTAAATAAGTGCACACACTAAATAAACAAATATAATTTTAAAACAATTGTTGACAGCCATTGGTTAGATGAGATAATGTCACTTTGAAAGCAAAGCCACCATTTCAGAATGGTTCTTAAAACAAGTGATGATGTTTGTTGTTTTTATAACCTTGCCAGTACTGAGACAGCCCACCATGTTTCCACCCTCGATGTTGCTGGGATACTACTTTACCATGACCCGTGGTCACAGGAGGCTCAAGACAGTGGGGACAGTGAAGACCTGGTGATTTTGTATCCTGAGCCATAGATCTTTGAAGTGAGTGAATAAATGGATAATTATTCTGGCTTTGTGCTGAGGGAAGGCATGCCAAGATTGGCATGGAGAGAGAGAGATGGTGGCAAATGGTGGCAGAAGTCCTCCTGTTCACCTCTGAAGAGCTCGTCGTGATTGTAGTTGATTGGAAAGGAACATTCAGTTCACTGAAAGCATCTCTCTGAGGAGATGGTCCTTCTCCCTTCCTTCCTGCTTCCTTAGAAATTCCTCCTCCTCCTCCTCCTCAGACTTGGTTTGTAGTTCCTGTAAGCTTCAGGGAAAGGGTTCTTCCTAATGGCCCACACCCTCCCATAGGCTGCAGCTTGAATCTGTCCATCTGTCTGCGTCTTTGCAACAACAGTTGTTCTCTAGTCAGTGTGAGACTTTGGTTAATGCTGATCTGGGATTCAAACCCAGAGGACACAGTAGGAAGGAGAGGCATTTACAGAAAAGGCAGTCTGGCTGAGAGGGCTCCTGGAAGCCAAGGAACCTCAGGCAGTCAGAATCCGGAGTAATTACATCGCACACAGCAGACCCCAGCAAGGCCCTGGCTGCAGGTTGGCTTCATCAAGTACTTGTGCATCTTGACAAATGGGCACTTCATGTACCTTGGGGAATGGGGGGAAACTAGCCACAGATTAATCACCAAGCTCCCCTGTCTGGGGAGAGTTAGAGTCCCTGGCAAGCCAAGGGACAGCAAATTGACAGAAGCAGAAAAAGAAACCAGAACTAACTTGGCCACCATCACAAAAGGTAGGAGGAATGTAACTCCAAGACCCATCTTTTAAGGCAATTTGCATAGCGACAGTTGACAAGGAAGTAGCTCACATACAAATGGATTGTACACTTCTGGCCTGAGGAGTGACCAGACTGAAGCATGGCCTGTGGGAAACCCTAAACCAGAGGAGGAGGGTCTCAGAGGCCAAAGGAAGACAACAACCCAAAACAGGGTGTGAGTGAATGGCTGCAACTCCTGAGGCTCCTAGAAAGTGATATGGTGCACTCCCTAGCCTTACCCAGAATTTTAACCACTGTGTGTCAAGAGTAACTCTCTGTTCTCACATTACTGTGGTGCCTGCTTTTAAATAAAGAGAATTTTTCTCTGAAATGTTTGTGTATGTTACAGATGTTTGTTGAGTGAATAATAGCTAACAGTTTTTGCACTTCAGCTACATCAGGCAACATACTAAGTGCTTTTGTGAATGATTTAAGTCAATCTACATAGTTATCTGAGGAGATGGGTTTTTTTGTTTTTTTGTTTTTCGAGACAGGGTTTCTCTGTGTAGCTTTGGAGCCTATCCTGGCACTCGCTCTGGAGACCAAACTGGCCTCGAACTCAAAAAGATCTGCCTGCTTCTGCCTCCCGAGTGCTGGGATTAAAGGCATGCACCACCTGTGCCCAGCTGAGGAGGTGATTTTTAATTTTCTTTGTGACAAAAAAGTCACACACACACACACACACAATATATATATATATATATATATATATATAGAGAGAGAGAGAGAGAGAGAGAGAGAGGAAAGGACCCAAGGAGGAAGGATGGAGGGAGAGAAATGGGAGGGAGAGGAAGGGAAGGAGGGGAGAGAGAAGGAGGGATGGGTACTGAGGAAGAGAAGGAAGGAGGGAGGGAGGAAGGAGGAAAGGAAAGAGAGAAGAGGGGAAAGGGTGGGATTAACAGAAGGGAGGGATGATGAGGAAGGAAGGGGAAAAGGAAAGAAGGAAGGAAGAAGAGGGGGAAGGGAGGGAGAGAGGAAGAAGAAGGGAAGAAGGGGTGGGCACATTTTAAGAAAGCCTGTTGAAAAGTCTCCCCGACTTTCTTTTGAGAACCTTCTGTCTTAACATGTGCAGGACACAGCTCTTTTTGCCTCTCTTTGCCACCAGGTGTTGAGTCCAGCAAAGAGCTACGAAAACCAGGCAAACTCACATGGCGCTAAGGGACAAGAGAAGTTCAGGCTCGGTTTAAATGAACTCAGGGAGCAAAGGGCAGGTCCTGGCTGTGACACTGGGGTTCCTGGGGCCTGTAGCCATGCCATGAAGACAACAGGAGAGAGACACTCGCTGTCCCCCTGTTGATTAATAAGAAGTGACTCCCAGTCATATAGACCAGTTTCACTCACAATAACAAAGTCTGCTGAAGGACTGGAGGGAACTATAAATTTGAAAATAATGGTGAAATGACCCCCTGCATAAATACATGGTATATGGCACAGTCAGGAGGGACAGAATTTGGACTCTAAGCTACTAAGTAGCCCAAACAATTAGGGAAATAATTGCAACAGACATGTCTACTACAAGCCAGTGGGTTAGGCCAACTTCCTAAAGTGTGGGCTGTGACTCCATAAGGGACCTCAACTGAATGTAGGGATTGCAAACACTTGGGCAGCCATGAAAGGCTTCTGAGTGTGTAAATAACAAGTAAGTATAGACCAAAGATGTTTCTGGTGACAAGTCCCTGTGTGTCATTGTACCACCTCACTGAAGTGTTGGCTCTGAGCATAACACACAGACACTTTGCGCTGTGCATGCTCTCACCACACACCATCAATGAACCCCACACACAAACATAGCCCAGACGATAGTGTGTCAAGCTCAGTGATCTTACTGCCCTCACTGTCTGCTCTTTTAGAAACATAAAGATTTACTTACAGAGAACAAAGCCTTTTAATATTTTTCAACTGTTGTTTCTCAGCATGTAAGTATAAAGTTGTGAATCTTGGGATTGTTTTGTGCTAAAAATGTTTGATTTTTAAAATTGCTTTTTGAGATGCTGACTTGAGGAGGTTTTTTTTGTTTTTTGTTTTTTTTTTAAATCATCAATGAATCTTAGCTTCAGATTAGGATTGAGTTTCCAACCATTGTGCAAGGCCCCTAAACATCCTTTTGATATTTTATACTATGTATTAACAAAAAAGTAGTGCTCAAAACATTGATGGTTATAAATCAAAATATTGATCAACTCTGAAAACTGTTGACGATGATGCACACCCTGCAATATGAAATATTCAGCCATGATTTAATTATCCATGATAAAAACAAACAAGCATATCCATACCATTGGTGTGAAAAGTTGTTTTCATCTTTAATAAGTGGTAAAAAAAAATCTGTATGTACCAAAGAATTGTCGTAAAATAAATTTCTTAGACTAACAAGGTGGTTCATCAGGTAAAGGTTGAGCCTGATGACTGATCCCAAAGACCAAAATGGTGGAAGGAAAGACACTGTAAATAACAAAAATTATTTCAAAACCAAATAAGTATAGACCAAGGGTGTTTCTGGTGACAATCCCTGTGTGTCATTGTAGCACACTGTACTCTGACTTCCATATGCATGTTATGGCATGTGCACTCATGCATGAACTTGTACTTGTGCACATATACTTGTATTCACTTTTGGGCAAACATATACTTGAGTGTGTATATGCACAAATACACACACACACACACACACAGGTGGGGGAGGGAAATGTAATAAACGAATACATTTGATTGGTGATGAGTACACGTTTGTCTTGTATACCATACTTAATGCACCTTTATGCCCAGTGTCAAATAAAAATTTCTTGGGTGAAAATGGGTCGTGGGTGGGAAAATGTTTACGAAGCCTTGGTTTAAGGTTAAAGGAATATCCTTGAAGAGCAGGATTATTGACAGAGATCAGGGAGGGTCCAAGTGAAACAATGTCTTTTGGACATGAACAATGTGGCCTCTCTCATGAATTCACAGCAACTGTGGTTACCAGAACAAGACCTATACAGGGTCAAGCTAATCAACATTCCAGCAAGGGTGGGAGGGATCATGAGCCCCCACCCCTAGCTGAACAGCTATTCATAATGAGAGACACCTTTCTTTAGTGTGGCGCCCTTGGTATGTACACCATACTCCCGTGGGTGCCTTCATAGCCGTGTGTATATATGGGCTGCACAAATTGTACTCAGTGGTTATTTAAAAGCAAAATGACAACAACAAAAAACACAGGCTGTGAAGTTGATAGGGGAGGCGAATCCGGGAGGAGTTAGGGAAAGGAGTGGGGATGAAATTCTCACACGATTAATAAAAATGCTAATTTCTTTTCTTTTCTTTCTTTCTTTTTTTTTTTAAGTATCGGTTTAGAGGAGGTGGGCTTTTTTTCTGATGCTGGAAGTGTAGTTTCTTGTTTTTGTTTTTGCTTGGCAGGGAGCACCCTGCAATATTCCACTCAGCATATTTCCTGTTGACATCTTTGCACGCTACCGACAGCAGCAGCATCTTCAGAGAACCGGGAGCCCTAAGTGGTCACTGCTGATACCCTGAGCACAGAAAGCGCTTTAACCTTTATGGCGGTTCTCCTTACTGCCACTTCCTCAGAACAGAAGCCAGAATCAGATCTGCACAGCAATGGAATTCAACATGGAGTTAGCTGCTGTTTCTCGTGGCCTCAGTCAGCTAGAAACCACCCTGCACAAGATGGAGGCAGAGCCCTGATAAACCAGAGAAATGACCAGTGAGGAACAAGGTAGGGACCGTCCAGAAAACTCGGGCTGATGATGGCACCTAGCCAGCCAGGGCTGGAACAAGACAAAGCTGCTGAGCAACGAGCCCCAGAGTGCCTTTTTTGAGGGGTATCTGTCTCTGCCTGTTTTTCCGCAACTGGGCAGGACCCCACAAATGTCAGAGATCAGATTTTTACTTTGATTCAATTAACATGGGCTGAACCGCTTTCTGTGCCGAGGGGCCCATGCTGGATGAGCTTCAGACAGGCTCTGCGTTCAGCGCACAGACCACACCCAGGTGAGCCTTAGGAGAGCGCACATTTCAGGTTAGGAAACCTGGGCTCGCAGAGGCGGAGCCTGGGGAATAGAGGTCTGGCTTCCTAAGCCTGCTTGGCTGCAGCTGCGTGCGCAGAATGATCCCGGGGTTTCGTTTCCCAGGGTTGCGGAAGACGAGCTTGGCTGTGGCCCCTCTCACGGGGCTCTTCAGTTCAGAAGGAAAGAGGTGGCAAGGCAATACCGAAACAAACCCAGAGCGCCAGACCATAGCAAGGTCCCTGAATTGCTAAACCAAAGCGAGGACTTTCCGCTCACTCCTCTACTTCCCTCCCTCTTTTCCTTCTCTCCCGCCCTCTGTCAGAAAGTGACACCCCAAAATTGCGGGGAGGGACTTTTTCAAGACTTACCTAAAGAAACAGGGTCCACCAGAAGGCTTCCAGTTGCCAGCTAGTCCTTCCCTGCCCTTTTGCAGAGTACCCCCACCCGGTCCCCGGAGTCTTCTGTTCACCTTCCTCCTCTCACCCCACCCCCACCCTAGCTTTGTTTCAGGGTACAGTCTCTCCTCTGGACCTGCCCATCTCCCCCTAAAAACCAAACTGCCTACAACCCGCCCCCCCTCACCTTGTGATCAGGGCTTCGAGTTTGCAACCACCTGGATTGTTTCTTAATTTGCAGGACTCTCGTCACCTGCACTTTGGTAACGTTTTTTTCCCCTACATGTGTTGTCAGTCTGTTTGATAAAGTCAAAGTTTTGAATCTTCACCCCTCCACCTCTTTCCATTCTTTATGATTTGCCACCTTCTTAGCCCATGAAGGGGCTCAACGATTTAAAGTACATAGTCCCCGGGGAAACCCACAAAAAGCCTGGTGCTTTTTGACTTATGTGGAATGCCAGCACTTGGGTCGTGGAGTCGGAGAGATTTGCCCTACCAGAGAAGACCACCATGAAGAAAATGGAGGGAAAGGAGGAAAATGCTTGGGTTTGTGGGAGGTGAAGCTTAGGGGCGTGAAGGCTGGATGTAATGATTTCACTAGACTCAAGATAAATGATAAATGGGTGTTTTATTGGGGAACAACTTACACAGAACAATAAAGAACCGCTGTAGCCTGTCTCTGCCCTTCAAATCCCATCTGTGACCCAAGAGAACTCCAGAGACACCATGCTGCGCGCTTTCCTCTTTCTGCTTCCGTCTGTACCTGAAGCTACGCCCAAAGGGGGTGTGGCCACTGTTACAGGTTCACAGGCAAGATGCTATAGAGATGGAGATAACCAAAGGCCAAAGTGAGTGCCCAGGGCCCCAGGTGGTGCCCCACAGATGGTGCCTCTAGTCTATGCTGCCCAGCTGGGAGGGGTGGCAGTGAGGGAGGAGGGTGTTAGTGGCAGCTGAAGGATTAGTCATGTAAAAGGTGGTCCAGAAGCTCTGGAAAGCTGATTTCACCGATACCACCTGTGGGATTCTGATAAGTCAACATACCTCCCTCAGTAGCATCGCCCACTCAGAGACTACAGGGGAACTGACCTGCAGAAGGAATTTTCCGCCCCCAAAGTCCCCTTTCAATCCTATAAAAGCCCACACACCCCCACCGGGTGCACACAGTTTCACTTCTGCGGGAAGCCTGAGGTCCTTCAGTTGATTAAAGAACAATTCTGTTTCTGGAGATGCCTCTCTGCTTTCTTGTATTTCCACATCGCCTCCATCTAACAGCATCCAGCAAGAAGAGGCAGAGATGCCACTAAAATGCTGCAATGCTCAGGACATTCCCTGTGTCCAAAGGAGATCCATCTTGGAATGCCCAAGATGAAGGACTCCTGCCTAGGATGGTCAGAAGCCGCTAATTCTCTAGGCAGTGCAGTGATGTGATCCAGTCGTCTGTAATGTGATGTGGATGAGTCTTCCCCAACAAAGACCCATGTATGTGTTCAAGACCTGGGCTCTGACCTGTGACGTTATTGGGAGGTTATGGAGCCTTTAGAATGTGGGACGCAATGGAAGTCAGGTTATGGGGGCATGCTCTTGAAGGGTGTTTTAGGTCGCTGGCTCCTAGTCTCTCTGCTTGCCTCTCAGCTACCATGAGGTTAACATTCATCTCTACTAATCTCCCGCTTTGATGTCCTGCCTCTCACAGGCTCAAAAGCAACAAGGCCAGCTAGCTGACCATGGACTGAACGTTCTGAAACTATGAACCAAAACAAACCTTCCCTCCTTATAAATAACTCATCTCAGGTATTTTGTTCTGGTGATGGAAAGCTGGCTAGTACTTTGCAGTATTGGAGACACTTGGGAACTGCTGTCTCAAATTAAATACACCTATTCCCAGGATGCTCCTGGGGGCTGAGACAGGGAGAGTCTTACCCGAGGAATCAGGGCCACGAAAAGCCCCAAAGCTAACATCAGAGTTCAGGCTTCACTCCAGCTCCTCCAGCCACAGTAAGTGATCCAGGCAGACAAGATAACCTCCTTAGCTGCCCTCCTAGCTCTAGAAAAAAAAGATATGGGCACCACTGTCTTCAGCCTGTGTGCCGAGATGACCAAAGAAAGGCCATTCCTGCCCACTTGGCAAAGAGAAATGGGGTGGAAAGAGGAGGTATTACTGTACCATGAAAAACTTTTTTTTTTAGCATGATGCAATGTGTGTGCTGATTTGTGAGTTGTTTAAAGTGGGAGATACAGTTGAGAGGAAAATAAAGCTTACCCATAATTTCACTTACCAGAAATAACTCTTAACAATTAGATTTTTCTCTTTGTTTTTTCAGACACTACAAATGTGTATGTAGTATTTTTCATTTTAAAAAAGAATCATCACTCCTCAGCCTTTTGGCTAGGATCAACTTATACTCTCCTCTGTGGGAGTGGGTGTGTCTCTGGCTCTGCCTGCACTTGGTACTCTTTTCCTCCTATTGGGTTGCCTTGTCCAGTCTCGATATGAGGGCTTTTACCTTGTCTTGTTGCATCTTGTTTTGTCGTATTGGGGTTGTTGTCTCTTGGAGGCCTGCACCTTTTTGAAGGGAAATGGAGAGGGAGTGGGGGAATCATAAGGCCATGAGGGGGAGGTGCAGGGGAGCTGGAGGAGTAAAGGGAAGAGAAACTGTGGTTGAGGTGTGGTGTGTGAGAAAATCAATTTTCAATAAAAATAACACTAAAAGTATACTCTCTGATCTTATCAGTTTAAAAATGACAGATATGGTGGCATGCAACTATAGTCCCTAATACTTGGGAAGTTGAGGCAGGAGGATCATTTGAGTTCAAGTCCAAGCTGGACGACAGAGCAAGGCTTTGTCTTCCAAGAAAAACAAAACAATTTTTAAAAATGAGATCATACTTTATCCACAAATGTGTATTCCAAATACCATTTCTTTTCTATCAAAATATTTCCATGCCTATAATCTTAATTAACTGTGTGATGGCTAATCTTGGTTGTCAGCTTGAGACTGATAGGAAGAGGGACTCTCAGTTGAGGAACTGCTTCTATCAGAGTGGCCTGTGGATTTGTCTCTGGGGTATTCTTTGATTGGTTACCAATGGAGGGTGGTCAGGCCCACGGAGGGCCATTGTCACCTCAGAGCAGGAGGTACTGAGTTCTATAAGGATGCTATCTGAGCAGAAACAGAGAGCAAGCCAGTAAGCAGTGTTCCTTCAGTTTCTGCTTCGAGTTCTGCCCTGCTTGAGTTCCCTCCTCCTCTGATTTCCTTTAGTAATGGACTGTAACCTGGAAGATGAAACAACCCTCCCCCACTGCTGAGTTGTTTTTGGCCAGTGTTTATCACAGCAACAGAAAAGCACACTAGAACACAGTGTTTGAGATTGGCAGACATTTGGGTCCTTGCAAATTTTCCCCATTTACAAAGCTTTCTGGGAGTTGCATCTCTTTGTTGGTTTTGACTAAATTACAGTGAGAGCGGCGGTGCTGGGGAACGCCCTATGGCAGGCACCTGCTCTGGCAGCCTGGCCATCTCCCAGGGATCCTGTAGGACTGGGAAGGCAAAAAATAATACCACTCCCCACCTGAACAAAAGGGAGGCTGCATCTTTGTCATGGTCACTCTGCTTCCTGCTAGAAGGAAGCAAATGACCTACTCAAAAGAAGGATCTGACAGACATTAGAACTGCCACACTTGTCCCCCAGAAGCCATCTCAGCAGCCCCAGCAGAGGCAACTTCACTGGACAGCCAGCCTTTATCAGGAAGGTCTCTGCTAACCTAGTGATGGTGTTAGGGGGACACAACACCCTGTCCACCTTGGCCCTCTTTCCTTTGCAATCCAGTGGCTGGGGATGTGCGTAGAGGCTCATCTATGGTTGCCTCACAATAGGGACTGTGACAGTTGCAGTTTCTTTTCTCAGAAACAAATTCATAATGAGGAAAAGTCCACTTTGCAAAACAATGTGGAGGAACAAATCCCCAGAAGTCAACAAAATGCCCCAACAAGATAGAACTATCCATGCTATGACATGAAAACTATACAACCTCACCTAAAATTCTCACAAGATAATGTTAAGTGAGGAGACTGCTTGGAAGATGAAACAACAATTCTGTTGAAGGAGAACCTGCCTATCCAGGGCATGCATAAGTGAGGCTCACCTCAGTGTTCACGATGAAGTCATCACTTTCATAGTAACTATTCCTACTGTGTGTGTTTGTGGGGGGGGGTAGGGTGGGTGTGTGTGTTTGCACAAATGTATATAAGGACATAAGCTCTGGGAATGGAGGTCCCCTCTCTGCACTGAGGGGTGCCTGTGAGTGAGTCAGG